CTTTGTTTACCTTGACCATCATTACTTGATTGTAAAAACTTGACAATTTCCCCTTCCCATTAGTTCATTTTCAAGTTCATAATGTTTCAAGTACCTTCAACTGTTGCATCATAATTTTGTGTTATTCGATTGAGTATTACATTTCTGGATATTATTACTTATACATGCTTCCGAACTGTAATCTGTTAATCTAAACCTCTCAATATTATTTAAAAAAACATTATGCAGCCCAGCTTGTAATTATCGAAAAGCTAAAAATACGCTCCACTGCAAACCTCCAAAGTGCGCAAGTGATTATGTCACATCCCACACTATTTACCAATTTTCGTATGTGCGTGGACAAACATCCATAGGGAGGGGTAATCTTGCTTTGCATGTAAGGGTGGGAGAGCATATCCCGCAATGGTCAGAAAAACAAATGAATTGTGGAAAACCAATAGATGTAGGTGTCAGACTACCAACTTCGTCTATAGCTAAACATCTAATAGAGATGAACCATAAGTTTGATGTTAACTCAGCCTTTAAGGTCATCTATAAAAACGGTCAAGGACGCATTTTGAAATACGTTGAGGCTATTCATAGCTATTCATAAACTTAAGCCCACCCCCTCCTTTGTATTCAAAAACAGTTTATTATTACTTTTAACTTACCTTGGTAATCCTTATTTGATTGGATTACCAAACGTAGTGTTAATCATTCTTAAATCCTTTTTTGTCATTTTGTTTAATTTAATCGCCTTTAATTTTTTCATATATATCGACCTGACAAGTGAATGTGTGGTCAAACTGTTCGAAATGTATAGCGCAAATACATTGCATGCTTCAGATAATCTCCTTCTTTTAAGAACACTATCCATATTTATAAAAGGGACTAATTGTTTTAAAAACATTAGTGTTATCAGCAACAATTACTCTTTCAACACTATGTATATAAAACTGTAGAACCTGATAAGGAAGTTATCAGGAAGTGTACTTTTTTTAAACTGAATTTTAGATTTTCCTGTCGATTGGTTGGACCGAAGTGCTCGGTCTCAGGTTCACATATCGGCTTCTTGTGCAAATGCTTCGACGATGTCTGGGCATGCAATAAGAATTTAATTGGTGGATGGTGACTAGCACAAATAGGACAAAATGCGCATCCTGGATTCCACTGCTAGTCACCGTCCACCAATTAAAATCTAAAGCATACTTTTTGTTTTCATGAAGAGTGATTACAAACAAAAACAAAGTTTTTATGAACCATTATTATACCCAACGATGCATTACTTCTGATAAACCTGACTTAAGTGCAGATATCTGTGCTTTCTGTGTAAGACGGTTATGATTGATAGGCACCTTTGACAAGTATGATAAGGATGATTTAAACAAAATGCGTATGGCGCGAATTTCAAAACGTTAGTTTTGTTAGCATTTTAAATATTCAATAGGAATAAAAGAAAATTGTTCAAATGTCTCTACAAATACCTTGTTTATCCACATCATCCTTCTACTGAAACAAAGTTAACTGGAGTGCACTTTAATCTCAGCAATCAAACCAGATGAGTGGGTTTATAGGACATTCTAATAACTACACTTATTGCAGAAGCGAAGTTTTTGTTGTTGTATTCACGTAATGGCATTAATAGTATATTTTCAGAGTTCTTGTTAGTAGTCTGTAGAAGTAATTGTTACTTTACAGTCATTTTTAGGCTGTAGGTTTCAAATTAAAACAAACAAGATGGTATATTTCATGATTTTTTGCTACTGTGTTTGGCCTATTAAGTGTTATAAGTGCTTTGTTTTACATCGTATCCTAGTAGGGCTAGTTCAAACCGCCTTTTTAAGGGTATCCTATATATCATTTCCCCATTTGACTGGATGCCAATATACCATTTTGTGTTTTAACTTCAAAGGCTTGGTACTTAACTGCTAAAGACAACCAATCCTCTGCCTATAGTTGCTAAAGAATGTCACATATAATAAGATTGAAAAAAAATAATGAAATACGTTAAATTCATATTAATGAGGTAGTTTTCAAAAAATAACAACTAAAGAGTCTATCACATGGGCTTGAATTTGACTTGTGAGATGAATAAATTAACTTCATAAAAAATGATTAGAGATAATAAGAAAGATTATTCTTTTTATTTTTTTCTCTGTTTTATTTCGAAAATAAATTTATGCCATTCCGTTAATTTATTCAATGATATAACAGGTGAAGGTTAGGTAAGATTGAATTTGAAGTCTTTGTTTTTTGTAAGACTGATGACTCATCTATCAAAATGGACTTATTCATTTGTGTTCGATTCAAGCACTTTAATTTCTCTTACAGTATACTTATAAGAAGTACTAATGCCATATTGTAAAGGTAATAAAAAATCTTAGGAAACTGAATATGTCAGTAGGTAATCTTTAATGGGCTGGGTGGGGATTAGGTAATTTGAATAACAATAATTATAAAGGTGATCCAAGTGACCAAAAAGTTACCTTAACAAGCTAAAGTGCCTGAGATTTTCATATATACTTATTTAGGTGTTATGTATAAAATAACGTCACCTCTTCTATTGAGTCAGTAAAACATATTGGAACCGATTGTAAGCAAATATGTTTACTAGAAATGAATTTGAAGAGTGGATCTGTAGTTTCAAAATGACAATCTGGGGTAATCTTCGTTTAGTAGACTGTGGACGATGATTGAATGTGAAAAGAAAATCTGGCTGCTGAAAGGATTTGAATTAGTGGTCTTCGAATTACCAGACCGGCGGGCCACGTTAAACTACAGTGATCCAGGAGTGTGAAAACACCAATGACCTTGAACTCATACTATTTTCTGGTTAAGGGAACCTGCCATCATTGTGGTGACACTATGGACTATTGAGGTGCATATTTCATACCCATCTGGTTTTAATGTACTGTTTGATGTTGATATCTCATTTGGATTAAGTTTAGGATTAGGGTTAGGATCAGGGTTAAGGTTAGGTGTGAGGTTGGGATTAGAGTTAGGTTATCTTATTGTCTACATTTTTCTGGTAAATGGTTGTCGATCCCCTTACTGGGACCCATACTAATCCAATAGAGGGCTTTTGGGGAGACTGAAAGACAAGTTAAGAGCTATAAATAGATAACAGAAAGAATTCATTTTGAGTTACTTCGATGAGTACATGTGCAGAACTGGTCTAACCTTAACCTGGGAGATATTTTTAAGTCACATCATGGAATAATACGCTGTTAAATGTGTTTTATCGCAATTTTCTGTATTTCTCTTGTATGTAAAAACTACGGGTTTTCTGATTGGATGCCTCAAGGTCAGTCGTGCGTTCACATCCCATGAATCGTTACGGTTTAACTTTGTCAACCGGCTTATTACCAGATGAGCAGGAATTCTCGGGACATGATTTTACTGTATAGCATCATTTTAGTGTTACTGAAGGCAAATATACTGTCACTACGGAAGTGTTGTACAATGACATTACTTATTATTCAAGGAACAGTATACTAGAAACCCTATAAATGTTGGAATATACATTATTTTGTTTCAAAGTTAAAGCCTTTTTTTAGTAAATTGTCAGTAAAATTAAATTAATTTTTTGCTAAGTTAAATGCCTAAATTTGTTTATGTCTACAAAATCGTTTTCAAGGAAAATAGAATAAATTATTTAGACAAAAAAAATACTGAATTAATTATTTTGGCTAGTAAAAGATACACACGTCGATGAGCACTAATTCTACAGACAAATGGACAAAACTGTCTTCTTTTATCAAAGGAAAAGAGGAAACAGTAATAAATAACTCAAATAATCAAATAGATTTCGTCTCAAAATTATATCGTTTAGAGAAATATTCGAAACCAAGGAACACTGAACATCTGTTTCGTCCTAGTTTTGGGTTCTTCATCAGAACACCCGCATGACTTCAACCGGAATTTACTAAGGGATAGAGTTCTGATGAAAATAGTGAATAGGGGGTCCACCAAGTTGAATGTGAGGACAAATTCCTCTCTCCTCACCCCTCCCATGAAATAGGTAGGTGGTGGCTTAATGCCAAAAACTGATAGAAGTAAGAATAAGATGGTTGGAGACAATTGACAGAAAGCCTTGGATCTAGGTTTCGTGCTAGTTGTCAGTCAGCATTCAGCAAGGCGTATCTGTGACCTTGAAGGAACTCATGTCCCTTCTGAAATTCGAACCCGCGTCAGAGGTGTTACCACTGAGCTTTCGTGGTGTTCATGAACCATAGGATTCCATGTCAGTGACTGAATGGTCTTTGGGCTTTGCCTGGTAACCTGAATGTCTTTGGTTTGATGTCCAGGAAGTGATGGATAAGTACTGCTGGAGAGTTGCGAACTATGAAAAAAGAGGTATCCATCCCCCCATCTTTGGTTATCTATGATTCTATAAGTGATGTGATTTCTTTGTGAAGTCTATCTCAAAATCAATGAAAGGTCCAAAAACCTAACACTTATAAATAAAATAAACTATTAGTGGCCATTGTGCGTCGGTGGTACAGCGATTAGGACGCTCGTCGACCATGCACATGGTCCGGGGTTCGATCCCCGGCCAACGCACTCCTTTACCTCGCTAAGCCAGAAATAATGCTGGTAAAGAGGAAAGGTTGGACATGAGGCTAGCAACCCCATCCTGTAAAAATAAACACTGCTACGGAAACTTCAAGCCACTAGCTTGAAGCCCTATGTTCCACTGGGGAACGTGAAGGAAAAAAATAGTGGCAATAAAATGAAATGATGCAGTTCAATGCAGAGAGCATACAACAATTATTTAAAAAATACATGATAAAGTATGTCAACTGTAAAACATTTAATTTTGTTTATTTTTCGTCATATGAACATTTTTCATACTGTAATCTTTATTACATTAACATTTCCAACAACAGAGAATTGCAAACAGTCTGAAAGGGAAAAAGCTGAATTGCCTTGTGAATAAGGATATTTATTTACAAAAAAAATTGTGGAGTACATTTATATGTAGAAAGAATGCATCAAAATAGTCTAGTTGAAATTTGTTGCTAGCCACCAATTCGAACCATTGGTCGATTTAAACTTGATGCAAGTTGAATAGCGCCTAAAAGTTGTTTAATACAGCACAGAAAATAGGAATAAAGTTATATAAACTTTTGAAAAAAAATGGGTAAATTCATTTACCCTTTCGAAATGAAAAAATATTTACATTAGATTTCGAAAAAAATTAAATAAATGTGATAATAATGACCAAAATAATGAAGAACTTTTTGCCTGATTTACCGGATGTAAAGAAAACACTACAATTTCTTTTACTTTACAAAGACAATGTGCCTAATAAAATATTATGAATAATTAAACGCTTTTCTCGTATGTTTAAGTCCAAAAATATTAAAGTAAGTGATCATGAATTATTCATTCAGACATCTAGAGAAGACAAAAATATTGAGCAAAGAATATCCTTTTCGATAATTTCCTCTTCTGGCTCTATAATTACATATACATGTTTATATACATAGAGTATTTTAAAATAGCCAGACAGTGTCCTTACCTTGGCCATCAAGGTTTAAGTGATCCTTAATTGGTTGTGGAGATTTCCTTAATTTTATTTGATATTCTATTTGCTATTATATTTTTATACTTATTATAATTTATGCATCTTTAGTGAACTGCGATTCCATTGATCTTACTTAACAAATCGACCCGGCCGATAACTGCTACCTTGCCGTGGTGGTCGGGCTTGAATGCCGCAGTGACCCAACAAGCTAAACTGGCTGGGACTCATGTCCCTGCAGGTCCTACCATGTCAGGAAGGTTTTCTGGATAGCGGTTAGGCTAAAAGCAGTTACCATGGGGTACATGGGCTCCAGAATCCAATCGGATCCAATGGCGTACGAACCCATATTGGTCACCGGCAACCATGGGAACGCAGCACCTGACACTGCTCCGCTGCCTTGCGGATTAGACTCCAAGTCAAAGGCTCGGGGGTTGGTCCCTTAAGAAAACCACCTGCTTCGGTCTGGGCACCCGGGCGGTATCTCAGCCCTCACACAATAAATGAAATGAAGCAACAAACTATTATTGAAACTCACTGCGCGCTCGTAACAATGCGTTCAAGCAATAATGATGTCCCAAGTAACACATCTCTTTCCAATCTTACTTTTATTTTTATACTTAGTTTCCTGTATTTTACCTTTGCTCACCTTGACTTCTTAACCTTCGACAGCCTTTCGCCTTTGTTTGGATTCCTAGCCTATCTGTGTCGTTTCGAGATGTTAGTGAGTAACCCTCAAAATGGCTGTCCCCAATGTGACATCTAACACAGATATCCTGAAACCGCGTGCCGCGTTCAAGCTGGCCACCTACAATGTTCGGACGCTGATGCAAATCGGACAACAGGCAGGGTTGGTAAGAACGTTGGAAAGCCTCGCTATCGATGTCTGCTGCATTTCGGAGACTCGCATTCAAGATCCCAGTGAAGTGCTTCGACTATCCTCTCCATCTGGAAGTTCTAGTAGTATGTACCACCTGCGCTTGTCCGGGGACCCTGTGGCGTCGGCATCCGGCGTAGCTGGTGTCGGCGTCGCACCAAGTGCTAGAGCCGAAGCTGTACTGCTCGACTGGATTCCCATCAACAGTCGTTTATGTGCCGTGAGGATGGAAGGTTATACGAAAGTAAGGAGTGGTAGGCCAGATAGGCGGTGTCTATTTGTTGTCTCTGCCTATGCACCAACGGATTGCAGCCCGGATGCAATGAAGGACGAGTTCTACCACCAACTTAGCGATCTCTTGAGACAGGCGGGTCGGAGGGATATCGTAGTGCTGGCTGGGGACTTGAATGCACAGGTCGGGCGTCTGAGCTCAGAGGAGAATCGTCTAGGTGGTCAATGGGGACTACATGGTCGCAGGTCAGATAATGGGGACCGTCTTCTGCAGCTTTGCGCGGATCACAACCTATTTCTAGCCAGCACCAACTTCCGGCACAACCATCGCCGTAGCGCTACCTGGCGTCCTCCCTCTGCGAACCAAGCTTGGACTCAGATCGATCATATTGCTATCAGTTTCCGGTGGTGAGGATGCATACAAGACTGCCGCTCCCTCTGTAGCACATGCCAGAATTCCCATAATGCGTTAGTGTGTGCCAGATTCGCCTACCGATTTGGTGGGGCGCATAAAAGGCGTCGTCTGAACGTTAATGTGAGCAACCTAGCAGCGCCTGCTACTTCTTTGAAATACCAGAATGAGTTACAAGTAGTTACAAGTAGTATAGATGAACATTGGCTCCATCTGCAAGGTGCCATGCAAAGAGCTAGTGTAGCCGCTTGCTGCTTGAAAGAATGCTCCGCCAAAAACCACTGGGTTTCTGCGAGTTCCTTGCAACTCATGGATGAACGCCGGTTCATTCTGGCTGGCAGCGAATACAGCAATAAGCGAAAGGCGCTGACGCGCAAGATAAGAAAGTGTTTACGTAAGGACCGCGAGGCCTGGTGGTCAGAACGTGCGGGTGAGATGGAGGCAGCTGCTGCATCTGGCAACAGTCGGAAGCTGTTCCAACTCATCCGAGCCACCGGCAGCAAGAAACAAGGTGTCAGCGAGACGGTCTGTGAGGCAGATGGCACGCCAATTACCAGTTTGAAAAGACGCCTGGAACGCTGGGCAGAGCACTTCGGGAAACAGTTTAGCTGGCCACCAGCTTCAATGTCTGCTGTCATTAGCCCCAGTGCTCCTTGGTCGGTTAATACCGACCCACCCACCGAAGCGGAGGTCCGTAAGGAACTCCAAGTGTTAAAACGCCATAAGGCGCCCGGCCCAGACAATTTACCCCCGTCTCTTTTTAAAGATGGTGGCGAGACTCTTACAATGGCTCTAACTGGGTTGTTCAGGAAGGTATGGGAAACTGAGAGTGTACCATCAATGTGGAACGAAGCCATAATTGTCCCTATCTTTAAAAAGGGTCGACGTAATTCGTGTGACAATCATAGGGGTATCAGTCTGCTACCAGTCGCGTCTAAATTATTGGCTTCTGTCTTGCTTCGCAGGCTGTGCAAAATACGTGAAGGATTGATTCACGAAGAGCAGGCTGGGTTTCGTTCAGGTCGTGGATGCATTGATCATGTGTTCACCCTTCGTCAGTTGTTGGAACACCACCACACGTATTGCAGGCCAACGATCGTTGTGTTTCTTGATATTAGGGTTGCCTTCGATTCGCTGGACAGAACTGTGCTCTGGAACTGTCTGTTAGAGAGAGGTGTACCTGAGAAATTTGTTAACATCTTGAAAGCCCTATACAGAAACACCTCAGGTAGAGTGAGGGCATACAACCAACTATCATCACTGTTCCCAACCAACAGTGGGATTAGACAGGGTTGCCCAACCTCTCCATTTCTCTTTAACTTCGCCATCGATGACATTCTGGAGTCAGCTCTGAAGGATGTGCGTGAAGGTGATGTAGACCTGCTACCTGGAGATAGACTTTTCGACCTCGAGTATGCAGACGATATCGTCTTACTGTGCGATAGCATGCAGGCTGCCCAAATCGCACTTAATCAGTTGGCGATCAGTGTCTGTAAGTATGGTATGTGCTTTGCACCGTCTAAGTGCAAAGTACTGTTACAAGATTGGCAGGAGCCTGTACCTGCACTCACTCTTGCGGGTGAACCGCTTGAAGTTGTTGATAAGTTTATGTATCTGGGTAGTTGTGTGAGTGCTGGCGGAGGGGTGACGGATGAGATTTCCAACCGTATAATGAAGGCTAGGGTGGCATACATCAACTTGTGCCACCTCTGGCGCCGTCGCGACGTTAGCCTGCCTGTCAAAGGTCGGGTATACAATGCTTCGGTGCTGGCTGTCTTGCTCTACGCCTGTGAAACCTGGCCTCTCCGAGCTGAGGATGTGCGGCGACTCTGCGTGTTCGATCATCGCTGTCTCCGCAGGATTGCTTGCGTTCGATGGCATCATCGTGTGAGTAATTCTGAGGTTCGGTGGCGTGTGTTTGAACACAGTGGAGATCACCATTTGTTGAGTGTCGTCATCTGGAAACACCGGCTTCTGTGGCTTGGACATGTGCTGCGAATGTCATCCCAGAGGCTTCCGTACAGGTGTCTGTTCGCTAGCCCTGGGACGGGATGGAAAAGGCGGAGGGGTGGTCAGTCCATGACGTGGCGTCGTGGGATGAAGGATATTTGTGCTAGATTAGCATCGGTTGGTGTGTCACGACTCCCTGGTTGGGGTCCGCGAGATAGCTCGAATCGATGGCTCGAAACGTTATCGGATATGGCTAAGAATCGTAATCAATGGCGAACGTGTTGCAATTTCCTTCTTTCTTCCCTTCCTGATGATAGTTAACGAATACTGTTTGAACTTGTTAAACATGACTGCTTTCCTTCCTGATGAAGTTCTTTATCCGTTTTCTACCTATATTTTTACTTTTAATCTATGTTGTTTTATTATTATTGTGTGGCGCATCTTTCTTGGTGCCATATTGTACCAAGTTTTTCTGCGTTTAAATAAATAAATAACAAATCGATAGTATTTAAAAACACCAGTATTGTTAATGGTGTGTAATAGGAGTGATTTAACACCTGTCCACTCAGATATCTGGAAAATTCTACTACCCCTACGACGACAAATAGGAGAGAACAAAGAAAACTATAAAACTCAAGTTTCGAAGTTATGTGATTATAATTGATATGATTATGAACAATAAATTTTGTTCGAAACGTCATCCAGTAAATAATACTGTTTCACTGTGTGATATATCTGATAAACAAACTAATATGGAATTACTTATCCACAGTGCCCAAGTTTTACACATATAGTGATATGGAAAATCCTGATTACAAACCTATGGTGTACATAAGCTCCAGAATCCGAGCCGATCTAATGGCATATGTGAGGCTGTTTTGGCCACCAGAAACCATGAGAACGCAGCTCTGGAGGTTGCTTCACTGCCTCATCGACCAGATTCCCAGGGCTGTAAGGGTGGCCCCCTAAGACAACCACTTTCTCTGGTCTGGACGTTCTCAAACAGTATCCCATTCCCCCGCACAAACTAACTATAAGTTATTGTGCTGCCCACCTTTTTGTGCCTATAATGTACCAACT